GAAATCTTATTGAAAAATTGGCACTTAGAAATCCAAAGACCTTACACACAAAAGGAAAGCCAAATATTTGTGGTAGTCAGTCACCATTATAAATAGATTCATAGCAGCAAATCAAATGTAACTTTAAATAATTCTGAAATGAAAGTAAGCATTCTGTAAAAATGTGACACTATGGAGCAGAAGGCTGGTTCATTTTAGGTGGATGTTAGAAGTAGGTGTTCTTTGAATTTAATGCTTCTACTTAATATTAAAATTGAAATTTTAGTTCATAGTGAAAAGAACAGCTCTGTAGGATACTAGAGTTTTCTTTCTTTTCACAAAGTAGCCAGGCTGCTATTATTCCCAAAGCTCCAAATTGAGGGGAAAAGTGTCTGTTTAATATCTCATAAAATAGGTAAAATTCTTCATTCTAATATTTTAACCCAGGAAAAAATAAAAACATAAAATTGATCCATGGCTCAAGACTTACTTTCTAACTTTAGTAAAAAGGAAATACTCAAAATAATAATAGCACCAAAACCAGCAAAAAATAAAACACACACATGCTCATATTGAAGAAGCCCTTCCGCCAACACAAAAGCCTGTTTTTCAAGCTTACTTTTTTTTTTAACCTTTATTGGAGTACAGTTGTTTTACAATGTTGTGTTAGTTTCTACTGTACAGCAAAGTGAATCAGCTATATGTATACACATATCCCCTTTTTTGGATTTCCATCCCACTTAGGTCACCATAGAGCACTGAATAGAGTTCCCTGTGCTATACAGTAGGTTCTCATTAGTTATCTATTTTATACATAGTATCAATAGTGTATATATGTCAATCCCAGTCTCCCAAGCTACTTTTTTAATTGGTCATTTTCTTTACGAAATTTCCTAAAAGTCAGTTGCCTTTGATAGCAGAGTGTTTTCTTCCCCTCTGGGTACTTCTCGTGGCCAGTTAGAGAATCTGACTAAATTAGAGTTCAGTAGCTGAACAGAGTTGCATTTCCAGTTGTCTAACTCCACCTGCAGTATTGATCAAGATGTGTTAAATAGGTTTTGGGTATCTTGAAGTGGAATATTGTGTTTCAAGGCCAAGTCAATTGCATAATGATTCTCATCACTCACTGACTAGTGAGTTGTGGCATCACTATGAAGTTGTGATCATGTGCCCAGGTCACACCTGAACAGCTGGATACATCTTCAATTCTGATTTTATTCCAAGTTGGCAACTTTTCAGTTAATATTTGATTTGCAGTGCATGAAAAAATATGTTTCTGTTCAACAACTGATTTTAATTATTTCTTAATTTTGCCTGTGGGGTGAATAGTTTGGTCAACTGATACAGCAAAACATGAACAATTTGAAAAAGGACCCATTATAAAGTACTCTAAGGGATTAAAGCCCTAGGAAAACTGATGGTTTTATGTTTCTCATTCTAAAACTTTACTGAAGATGGTTACCATAAAAATATGTACATTGCTCAATGGAAATATATTGACCACATTTATAAGCATGGGAGCATTGAAAAAAGACTAAGGAACTGCACACAGAGTTGTAGCAATGGTTACAAATTATAAGGTGACTACACTCTAAAATATGTACATTTCAAGGGAGAAATAGTGGATACCATACACAAAAATAAGCTCAAAATGGATTAAAGACCTCAATGTAAGGCCAGAAACTATCAAACTCTTAGAGGAAAACATAGGCAGAACACTCTATGACATAAATCACAGCAAGATCCTTCTTGACCCATCTCCTAGAGTAATGGAGATAAAAACAAAAATAAACAAATGGGACCTAATGAAACTTCAAAGCTTTTGCACAGCAAAGGAAACCATAAACAAGACCAAAAGACAGCCCTCAGAATGGGAGAAAATATTTGCAAATGAATCAACTGACAAAGGATTAATCTCTAAAATTTACAGGCAGCTCATGCAGCTCAATAACAAAAAAATAAACAACCCAATCCAAAAATGGGCAGAAGACCTAAATAGACATTTCTCCAAAGAAGATATACAGACTGCCAACAAACACATGAAAGAATGCTCAACATCATTACTCATTAGAGAAATGCAAATCAAAACTACAATGAGATATCATCTCACTCCAGTCAGAATGGCCATCATCAAAAACTCTAGAAACAATAAATGCTGGAGAGGGTGTGGAGAAAAGGGAACACTCTTGCACTGCTGGTGGGAATGTGAATTGGTTCAGCCACTATGGAGAACAGTATGGAGGTTCCTTAAAAAACTACAAATAGAACTACCATATGACCCAGCAATCCCACTACTAGGTATATACCCTGAGGAAACCAGAATTCAGAAAGAGTCATGTACCAAAATGTTCATTGCAGCTCTATTTACAATAGCCCGGAGATGGAAACAACCTAAGTGCCCGCCGTCGGATGAATGGATAAAGAAGATGTGGCACATATATACAATGGAATATTACTCAGCCATAAAAAGAAACGAAATTGAGCTATTTGTAATGAGGTGGATAGATCTAGAGTCTGTCATACGGAGTGAAGTAAGTCAGAAAGAGAAGGACAAATACCGTATGCTAACACATATATATGGAATTTAAGAAAAAAAAAATGTTATGAAGAACCTAGGGGTAAAACAGGAATAAAGACAGAGACCTACTGGAGAACAGACTTGAGGATATGGGGAGGGGGAAGGGTGAGGTGTGTTAGGGCGAGAGAGAGACATGGACATATATATACTAACAAACGTAAGGTAGATAGCCAGTGGGAAGCAGCCGCATGGCACAGGGAAACCGGCTCGGTTCTTTGTGGCTGTCTGGAGGGGTGGGATAGGGAGGGGGGGAGGGAGGGGGACAAAGAGGGGAGAGATATGGGAACATATATATATGTATAACTGACTCACTCTGTTATAAAGCAGAAACTAACACACCATTGTAAAGCAATTATACCCCAATAAAGATGTTAAAAAAAAAAAAAATAGTGGATACCAACAGTAATTATTCTAAAGTAAAAGATGAACACAGAATAAATGTTAGAGTGAAAAGAACACTCTTAGGGACAATAGCAGGTGCTTTGAAAAGCTAATTTAAGCATAAATACCTTTAAAAAAGGGAATTCACCTTCCTTTCTACTTATTTTTTTTTTAAAAAAATACATTTATTTCTTTATTTTATTTTTGTTTGCATTGGGTCTTCGTTGCTGTGCGTGGGCTTTCTCTAGTTGCGGCGAGCGGGGGCTACTCTTCGTTGCAGAGCTCAGGCTTCTCATTGCAGTGGCTTCTCTTGTTGCAGAGCACGGGCTCTAGGTGCGCGGGGTTCAGTAACTGTGGCACGTGGGCTCAGTAGTTGTGGCTCGTGGGATCTAGAGCGCAGGCTCAGTAGTTGCGGCACACGGGCTTAGTTGCTCTGTGGCATGTGGGATCTTCCCGGACCAGGGCTCGAGCCCGTGTCCCCTGCATTGGCAGGCGGATTCTTAATCAATGCTCCACCAGGGAAGTCCCTCTACTTACTTCTTATATGTCAGCCCCACACCTGTCCCCAGTGTTCAAAAAGCCAATGCTCCAATTGTTCCCAAACCTTCAAGCTAAAACTTTTAGCTGCTCTGCGGCATGTGGGATCTTCATGGACCAGGGCACGAACCCATGTCCCCTGCATCGGCAGGCGGACTCAACCACTGGGCCACCAGGGAAGCCCCAAGCTAAAACTCTTAAGAGGCTTTTATCTTTTCCCTTAATAAGAACGTGGTAAAATGTGATTGTTGAGTTTCATATTTGAATTTTGCATTTCAACCGTCTCTAGCGATTGTGGAAAAGAAGAGCACCACGTCACTGCAGTCTGCCCATTGGCACACATTATTTTTAACCCTATTTTTTCAGTGTACCACAAAATAGCATTGGGTAGTATGTCATTGGTTCCTCCTATTTCCTGTATATACAGCACTACCATACAGCATGTCATTGCATTTCATTGTTTACATGCCTCCCTCCCTTTCTAGACTGTGAGATATTTAAAGACAGAGAATATATTTTTATTGCTCTCCAAGTCTTTTTTATCTTGCATAACACGTGGCACATCATAGGTGTTCAATAAATATTTATTCCATCAAAAATACTCTAGATATTCTTGCAGTTGAACATACATACTACATTTTAAATTCAAGTATTCTCTTTTTAGTTTTATTTCAGATTTGCCTTTTATTTTAAAGGCAGGCAGAAAAGCGATCCAAACTTGTTTCTCTGTGTTAAGCTAACATGGGCATTTAAAAAATAATACGACACTATGATTTTCACTAAACTAGGAAAGGTTATTTTGGAGCTGCTGGGACTTTAGATATTTGAAGTAGTAATTACTTCCTCCATAAATGTTACCTTTAGAGTCAAATACTGCTTTCCTGTTGCAGTTCAACTTTTTACTTAAAGGAAAATGTCTTCTATTCACAAGTCACTGTGCTATACTGTTACATGAAGTGATTCTCCTTTTCATTTGTTTTGGTAGCATTGTAAAGTCTATGAAGCATGATAATAATAACAGTAGTAGCTTACATTTTTTCAGTATTTTTTCTGTGCCAAGTATTTCACTAAGCACTTGACATGTGCTATGTCCTTTAATACCCACATAAAACTTATCATGTGTGTGATCTTATATATCTCTACTTTTTAATCTATCTATCTATCCATCCATCCATCCATTAATTTTCCCATTGGTAAGCCATTTAGTCAGAATAATAATACAGGGAGAATCATCTTTACATTTTGCATTCTTGCTTCTTTCAAGTTCTGAGTATCCAGTAATAAAATTTAATACCATATTTTGCATAATTCTGGAACAATGACCTATGTTAGTAAAGTACTTGTGTAAGCATTTATAAAACAAAAACACAGCATATGTTGGGCTGTATTTAATTAAGTACTATCAAGTCACTGCAACTAAGAATCCAAGAGTATTTCTTCTAAACTGAATGGATGAGATATCAACTCTTACCTGAAGATAATCAACACTTTATGTGGAAACTGACTGTTATAATTAACAACTTACCATAGACTTGGGTTTGGTTCCAGAACTGGCCACTGAGGTTGAAGATGGTAGGTCAGTGGACTCGGTGTTAGAAGACAGATTTATTTGTGTCTGATTTACCGAAGTGTTATCTGCTCCACTCTCAGATCCTGATTCCAGATCCTATGAAAAAAATGCATTGATATGAAGGGCATGTCCACACTCTCTACATGCCTTTCTCCCACCTCCAACACCTTTCCACCGCCTCCTTCTCCCAACACACATGGACACACCACAGAGTTATGACAACCGACAGTGACACGTCACCCATAACCATGCATTATTTTGTATTAACAATTGTACTCTTCAGAGGATCTGATTTTGGAATGCAAATACTGAAAAAGAGGTAGTAAACTACTTTGATAATTTAACAGCTGATTGTGCATTGGAAAGGGCAATAGGGGAAGCTAGCCGGGACACTGCAATAAGTCAGGAGGAAGAATCCCATAGACAACCCTTGCTCGTTGTGTGACTTCGAGTAACTCACTCTACATCCCTCTTGCAACAGGGTTATGAGGGTCAAATGAAAAGACAGTCCTCAGTTCTTCTCACCTCACTCTCTTCTATGTTCCCATCAGATCTCCATGGTGACACCTACCATAATAGCCTGGCATCATTTAGCTCAAGTGTATGTCTATCTAACGAACTATAAACTATTTGAGAGCAGGAATTACGCTTTGTCATGTGTGATTCAATTCCCTCATTTGAAAATGAGTGTAATGATAGCATGCACTCATATGGGTTTATGAAGATTAAGCAAGATATATGCAAAGTACATGTAACAGGCACATAATCATTTTCATTAAATGCTGGGCATTATTGTAAATATTGTTATTATTAACATCATATGCCTCTGAGCAACTAGTGTACGGTATGTGGATAAGACATGTCTGTTGAATGAGTGCAATCACACGGTAATCCCTCCAAAGGCTGTGCATTTAATTTACCAAATGATAACTTTGTGTTACACGTGAGAACACAGAGGAAAGGCAAGGGTGAGGAGAATGCAAAGGGGAGGGAGTGAAGGTACACATCACTCTATAATTTTAACCTGAGAAAATTATGATTTGATAATCTTTATGTCCACTCTTTCTACATCTCAACTTCACCATGGCCGATATGGCTAAATATCATCTACCCTGCACCCCGATTCTCTGGCCTTATGCTCTATCATTCTCTTGTTTCTGTATGCTCTGCCATACTTGCTGTTTGTCAGTCCTCCTAGTACACCAAGGTGGTGTTTATGGCAGGGACTATGCCCTTTCTTGTCCCTTGTCCAAGTATTTCCTTTTGCTGTCCCTTTCTTGTCACTCAGCTCTCAGTTTGAATATCACTACCTCAGAGAATCATCCTTTGACAGTTCAAGCTAAAATATCTTCCTCTCTTCAACCTCAGTGTATCATTTTCTATTTTACAATCTTATTACCTTGTTTATCTACCACATATCAACAATATCCATCCATCATCTCTACCTATGTATGTACGTATGTATCTATCTCTCTATCTGACCATCTATCTACCTTTCATTCATTTCTATTTCAAATCTTTTTTGTCTCCCTTTACTGGAATCTATGCATCACAAGAGCAGGGGCTTTTCCTGTCTTGTTCACTGATATATTCCGCAGGCTTAGAATAGTGCCTGGCACCTAGAATATGCTCATAAATATTGTGTTATGAAAGAATAACCAAACTGATAAATATTAATATGTAACCAAGGAGGCACAAGATCTGTACACTAGAAACTACAGGACCCTGATGAAAGAAATTGAAGAAGACACAAATAAATGGAAAGATATCTCATGTTCCTGAATTGGAAAAATTAAAATTGTGAAAAATGTCCATGCTACCCAAAGTGATCTATAGATTTAGTGCAACCCCTGTCAGAATTTCAATGGAATTTTTCATAGAAATAGGAAAAAGCAATCCTAAAATTTGTATGGAACCACAAAAGACCCTGGATAGCCAAAGCAATCTGAGAAATAATAACAAAGCTGGAGCCATCGCATTCCCTTATTTCAAATTATAGTACTGTAGTAATCAAAACAGTATGGTACTGGCATAAAAACAGACACACAGACCAATGGAATAGAACAGAGAGCACAGAAATAAAAGCATGCATATACAGTCAACTAACATTTGACAAGGGGGCCAAGAATATTCAATAGGGAAAAAATAGTCCTTTCAGTAAATGGTGTTGGGAAAATTGGATATTCACATGCAAATTAATGAAATTGGACCCCTATCTTATACCACTCACAAACCTTAACTTGAAATGAATTAAAGACGTAAATGTAAGATCTGAAACTGTAAAACTCCTAGAAGAAAGCATAGAGCAAAAGCTTCTTGACATTGGTCTTGGCAACAATTTTTTGGGTATGACACCAAAAGCACAAGTAATAAAAGCAAAAATAAACGAATGGGACTATATCAAACTAAATGGCGTCTGCACAGCAAAGGAAACAATCAACAGAATGAAGGATGCAGATAAGGGGTTAATATCCAAAATATATAAGGAACTCATTCAACTCAATAGCAAAAAACAAATAATCTGATTAAAAAATGAGCAAAATACCTGCGTAGACAGTTTTTCCAAAGACACAAATGGCCAACAGGTACATGAAAAGGTGCTCAAGATCACTAATTATCAGGGAAATGCAAATTAAAACTCCAATGAGATATCACCTCACACCTGTCAGAACAGCTATCATAAAAGGGAATCCTAGTGCATTGTTGGTGGGAATGTAAATGAGTATAGTCACTATGGAAAATAGTATGGAGGTTCCTCAAAAAATAAAAATAGGGCTTCCCTGGTGGCGCAGTGGTTGGGAGTCCGCCTGCCAATGCAGGGGATACGGGTTCGTGTCCGGGAGGATCCCACGTGCCACGGAGCGGCTGGGCCCGTGAGCCATGGCCGCTGAGCCTGCGCATCCGGAGCCTGTGCTCCGCAACGGGAGAGGCCACAACAGTGAGAGGCCCGCGTACCGCAAAAAAAAAAAAAAAAAAAAATTAAAAATAGAACTACCATATAATCCAGTAAGTCCACATCTGCATATACATCCAAAGGAAATGAAATCACTGTCTTAAAGAGACATCTGCACCCCTATATTCATGGCTGCATTATATTCACAATAGCCAAGACACAGAAATAACTGAAGTGTCTATTGATGGATGAATGGATAAAGAAAATGTGGTATATATACAATGGAATATTATTTAGCCATAGAAAAGAAGGAAATTCTGCCTTTTGTGACAACATGGAAGCACCTGGAGAGTATTATGCTAAGTGAAATGAGTCAGGCAGAGAAACACAAATACTGTATGATCTCACTTATATGTGGAATCTAAAAAAAAGGCCAAAATAGAAACAGAGTGAAGTGGTGGTTGCTAGGGGCTGGAATGTGGGGAAAATGGGGACGTGCTGGTCAGAAGGTACAAGCTTCCAGTTATAAGAGGCATAAGTTCTGAGGATCTAATCTTCATTTTGGCGACTACAGTTAACAACACTGTATTATATATTTGAAAGTTGTAAGAGAGTAGATATTGAATGTTCTCACCACACACATACACACACACACACAATTGTAATTATATCAGTTTATGGATGTGTTAACTAACCTTACTGTGGTAATTATTTTGCATAAAAAAACTGTATCAAATCATCACATTGTATACCTTAAACTTATACAATGTTATATGTCAATTCTATCTCAATAAAGCTACAAAAAAAAAAGAAAAGAAAAAAGTGGAAAACAAAGATAAAAAAGAAAGGGTACATACATAACAATAACAATAACATAACAATAACAATAATACATAACATAACAATAATAAATATGAAACATTATACTAAATTCTTTAAGTGTGTGTGTGTGTGTGTGTGTGTGTGTGTGTGTGTGTGTGTGTGTGTGTGTGTGTGTGTGTGTGTGTGTGTGTGTGTAAAACATATAACCATAACCAAATTTCTCATGTCCTGAGTGCTTTCAGATTAAGGGTCATCTATTCTTTTTTTTTGCACGGAAAAGACATTTTACATTTTACCATAAGAGAAAAATGGTTCATTACGATTTCAGATTGAATCAACATCAAATGGATAGTCATAAATAGCAGGTAATTTATAAACATCAAATGCATAATCATAAGTAGCAGGTAGTTTATAAGCCATTTATATTTTACATTTATGTTTATCAGAAATCATTTGCACTAATTTTGCCTTCCTATTTATGATTTGATTAGGCAAATAACAGGGTAACCTTGCATCCTTCTAACAATACAATAATTCTGAGGTAAAATAATAAATATTAAAATTTTTTTTTACCATTTAAAGACAATACTGTACAGCCATTCTCTGTTTCCATGTTCACAAACTCTATGTGGAAGATATTATTATCACTACCTGATGGATGATGAAGCCAAAACTTAAGGCAAGTAACTTGACCAAATTCATGTTCTGTGGCAGGGCTGACATTAAAGCTCAGATCTGCCTGACCCTCACTTGTCAGGCTCTATCAAGGCAGCCTTCTATACATTTTTACATCTACCCTTATTTTAATATGTTTCTCTTTGAAGCTATTCTTAAAGACTCCAGCCCATATTATTCTTTACCCCCTTTATTATATGTAGAACTCACTCCAGCATTTTCTTACAAATAATCTCAAACTGAGGTCACTGTTTCATTGTATGTCTTGCCCTCCTTGCTAAACTGTACGTTCACAGTGGAGTATGAGGGTGTGGCAGAGGGGTTTCTCCTCTGAATCTGGGACAGTACTCCTTGGTGGACAATCAAGGTCATAATTACTTGTTATAATCCACTTATTCCATGGTACAATTATCAAAAGGAATGGAAATCGCATGTGGAAAAAATTCTGGTGACGACAGAATGTTAAAATTAGCTTTAAATACCAAGGAACAGAAAGAAAGAAAAAGGGACAACCTAGAAAAACACAGACACAAAAAGAAGTTTCTAGGGATGCAGGCTATGTCTTATTTACCTCTAACCCAGTGTCTGGTGTGAGTGAGTACATGAGAGAAGGCAATGGTATTAACAAATACTAAATATGTACTCTGTGCCAGATCTTTGCAATGCATCTCACACGTGTTCTTTCATTTACTCCTCCCAACAAGCCATTAAGTAGGAAACAATGGCTCCTCTCAACCTGAAGTTGAGAAATTAAATACTTTTCTTATGTTCTCAGATATTCAGTTGTAGAGCTGGCATGTGAACTCAGGCCTGCAGACTCCAAAGTTTATGTTTCTACTGTATTATTTGGCCTATTTCAAGTATCTGTTGAACTAAAAACTCAGAAATACATCTTTATTTACAGAATTAACCCTTGTTCAGCAAGGGTGGTGATGGTCCATGAAATAGTGCATGCAATATAAAATCCAGTTTACACTTTAAATGGAGGCAGAGATGTAGATGCAGACAAATCCTAATCATCACCCACCTTAGCTCTTGTTTTGCATTGTCTTTACCACTCAACAAAGAACCATATCTAGCAGGTAAGGGCTGTTTTGCTCTCTGAGATGGAGACAATATGGAGTTGTATTTAGCAGAAATCTGGGCTGTGCTTTTTTCCCTAAATACATGGGATTGAGGAAAGGTCAATATAGAGGGAAAAGGGGAGCAAGTAAAGAGATAGGGAGAGATCAGCAATTCACACCAGAAAACTTTCAAGAGAAAATGTATTCCACACCTACATTAATGGCAAAAGTACTGAGAAGCACCTCCTATTGAAAAAGTGGGCTTTAAAGTGTTGATGAAAATGAGTTTGAAGCTTCTACACCCTTCATATGTAAACGAGAAAACATCCCTTCTTTTTGGCCTCAGGAGATCACTTTCACTACGTTTCCTCCATCTGGGTGCCTGTCCTACTAAAGTATGTGCAAGACGCTATGGCGGCACCAGGGAAGGAGTAAGCGGTTCTGTCTGGGAAGACAGAAGGAAATTTAGGGAAGACTTCACTGTAAAGGAAACATTTGAGATGAATCCTGAAGGATGAAGAAAAATTATTAAAAGAAAAATGTCATTCCTACCAGCTTTCTAGGTCAAAGCATTTAATTTCATACTTATTCACTTTTTAATCAAAAATGTTTTTTGCTCAAGCTATCAGATTTCCATTATAGCCAGCTAGGAAAGGCAGTATGGGATAGTGGTTGAGTGACATGGCTCTGGATCAAGACTGGCTGGGCTTCTGTGCCAGCTCTGGCACATATAATTTCTCTATTCTTTTTACTCATCTGAACAATGTTGTGAGGAATGATTGTGTTAACATACATAACGCATTTAGAATAGTATTAATACTTCGTTTATACTTAGGTTAGCTATTATTTTAACTTGTTTATTGACTTTGAAATATTCTGCACCACAGTCAGAATGAGTCTTGAATAACTTTAGAATCAATAGTAGAACTATACAAATTAAACAATTTGATACAGAATAGTTCTATTTTGAAAGGTGCTTTTATATAACATTTTCCACCCCTTTGATCTTAGGTAATTACAAAATTTCTTGAATTAATGTGTTGATTACTGAATATCAAAAGTGATAGATTAATTGAAAAGGAATGCATGGCTTAATTATAAGTAAATTCTACCATCACATTTGCTAGATCTGCAAAAACTAAGCCATTTAATTGAAGCTAATATTAAATATGTAAAGTGTATAGACATTTTGGAATCTATGTCTTCTAAATTTTATTTTGAGTGTTAGAATCTGATAGGAGTGTCTATCTTATTTGAAATTAATGCACAGTAGAATAAAATTTTCACCTCTGTCCTATTCATTGTGTTTCACTAAGTGAATTTTAGAGTGTTCTCAAGCTGATTTCATCTAAATTCTTTTTTGCAATATGCCTGGTTAATTCAACCAGCATCCATCCATCCATCCGTCCATCCATCCATCCACCTACTCACCCACCCATCTATACACCCATTCATCGACCCACACATTCATCCAACGAACCATTCATCCATCCAACCATTCATCCATCTGTCCAGCAAATATTTATTAACCATCTTCTATATGCAATGTAAATTTGTGGGACACTGGAAATAAGGCACTAAACAAGATAAACAGAGCACTGCTAATGGCGTTTATAGCGTATCAAGGAAAACCAACAATTAGGGAAACAATGACAATGAAGAGAATCTGATCACTAGGAAGCAAAATAATTTCCCAAAATGACCCTCTTTCCTGTGTAGTAATAACCATTTTCTTTTGAATCACACACTTCTCTTATGGACTCTGCATGAAGCCTAGAATGATTTGAGTGACATTTATGGAACACTATCAGGGTCCCATTTGGGTAGTGGGGCCATCCAACATGTTTCATTTGCAAGAGGGACTATACAAAGTAGAGACATCATGTTCATATGCAAAGAAGTGGGAAGTGGGAAGCTCACAGGGACTTGCCGCCGAAGGTTGGTTGGTGTGCTGGATGGAGAGGAGCTGGTGCTGAGAGCGTTCTCAATGTCCTGATCAAGCTGGTCCAGTTTCATGATCAGCAACAACATCGAGTCTAGCCGCACCCTATCTCGATCTTCTCTTATTTCCTGAGGAACAGAACATGTTGTTACTGAATCTGAAAGGCCATTTCTTGGAAAAAATAAAAAGTTCTCTGTTCTTCAATGTGACAAAAAGGACACTGAATAATAGGCAGTCTTCTACTTAAGGGGGAGGGAAGTTCTATTCTGTACCATCAATGTGCTCTTCATTGCAAAGATACTGACCACCTGCCAAGAAAGCATTTTACATGCATATTAAATACATATTTTCTAGAGCAAGGCACAATGAAAAGGAAGTATAACATCATATCAGTACTGATACTTACAATTTCCGATGAATTATTCTTGAGAAAAGTTGTATGTTTACTCTTCTTTTGTCATAGTACAAATCAATTATAACATACTAATAACTGTTTGCGGGTTAGACATTTAAGGATGCATACAAGATAATATTTTTGGATGAATATTTCTGAGTATAGTAAAACATAGGAAAAGAATCAAACAAGGCAGGATTGTTTAGTTTAGCTTTGTTTTTTTGCATGGGGCCATTTACTTACTGCTGCTTCAAGCTATGTCATTGCCAGTATTTATTTTCAAGCTTCTTTTCTTTCACACACTTTTGAAAAAAGCCTCCACAATCGTATGAATAATGATTACTTATTCTGAACTCTCTATAATATAGACATATTTATGGAAATAGTTTTGTTTATAAAAATAACTAAAGCTTCTTACTGACCATATAGAGTTATTTGGGCATGACTGTTCACTATTCTTAGGTGTTCAAATCAAGTCAGTTAGTATTAGAAAACTTTCAGACTTTCTGTAATGTGCAAGATATCAGGGTTGGGCAGAGTACTGGGTAAAAGAAAAAAACAAAACAAAACATGGAAAGCGCTGTAAGTTTCCTTAGAAGCATAATCTATTGAGGGATGTCACAGACTTGGGACCAGCACTTTTGAGGCAAGTCATCATTTGTGACTCATGTTGCCCTTGCCATTTATCATCTGTCTGAGATATTTACCTGGGTGAAATCAGCTTTAAAAGGACCATCAGTGGTGACCTCAAAGGGAAACTATACCATGATGGAAGCCTGAGGGGTGCAGGCACAAGGGAGTAATTTGGAGGCTTTGCTGAGGTGACGGGATTAGTAGTGGTATGAATGAGGTGACTGTCTGAATCAGATCTTTTGTTTTGGGCCTTTTACTTTTAATCACCCTAAATTCCCTAGTCACCATTACAGGGGACCCTAAAGAACAAGGACTTGGGTAATTTCATGGATTCATCTAATGCTATAAATGAAATTAGATTAGCTAATATTAATAATAATTATGTTAATATTAATAGCAGACTGTTAATAATAATAATTATCTTTCACATGTCAAATAATTGGTTAATTAGATTAAGTTGGTCAAAAAATCATTAATTCAGCTAACATGGACAAGTTATTTGTGTAAGCTGAACTTGTGCTTGGTTTAAAGATTAATATCAAATTGAAAGACCTAGTCCTGTTTCCACAAAGTCATTAATTTTGAGAATAAATTAAGAATTTTTTTGAGTTATGTTAATTCCTTTAGGGTACTATGCTATGATTATTTCTTCAATTTCCTTCCATCGTCCCTGCTGTCTAAAACATTTAATGAGGCTCTGACAGAGAATTACAGAACTTTTGTCATCATAAAGTTTTATTGTGCTTAAGAAGGGGCAGGATATTTGCAAACAGACCTGAACCTTACTATACATCATATTCCTCAATGCTACAGAACTTTGTTATATTTAAAAGAATGTTATTTATAGTAAAACTCTGCTTATACCTTAAAATAGAGTCCCAGAAATATTAGAGATTACTCAGTTTAATTCTCTTCTAAATAATCCAGTAAATGGAAGAATCTGTCTGAATAGAAGACTCAAAGTCCCCTTAATTACTCCCCCAATGTGTTTGCTTATATAATTTCCTTCTCTTTTAAACCAAATTTGTGTTTGGCAAGATAATGTTCTTTGCATCTCTATACATATCCACGTATGTTTTTGTGTGATTGTCTTTCATTCCCCAGTAATAACATCCTCAAGCACAAAGATGAAGTTTTTCTACCTGGCAGACACAGAGTCAAGTTCTACACTGCATACACAATACATTTTCAGGAATAATAATAACAATGAAATCAACAGGAGCAAGTGAAACAACACTTCCCAAAGTCTTAGAAAATATATCTTGATATTTTTCCAGCTACTAAGTTAATGTTGGAAAAAACAGTATACCCTGCAGCTATCCTAGACCTATCAGTAGTAGCCTCAGAAATAATTTGTTTTTGAATTAACTAGATGCTGAGTTTGTGCTTTAAAAACTTTTTGAAATCCATTGGCTGAGCATCAAATTATTTTAAATTATCTGCCAAAAGAATAAAACAAAACAGCCTTGGTCTAAGATATTTCTTTAGAGAAATAAGCCTATTGATTTTCCCTTTTCTTCATGGATGCTTCCTTATTCACCATCTATTACAACGTTCAGCCTCAAGTGTCAAGTACACAGACTCATATAGTATGTTACACATTAGTTAAACATCACAAAATTGAGTTGGCTACAAATCAGATGCTTTGGATAAATTTTTTGTCCTTGTTGTTAAAGCCCAAGTATGAATATTTTGCAAAGTTCTAACCTTTCATATGTCCATGGCTAAACTCCAGCGAATAGCTCATGCCTGAAAACAGAGCTGTGCATTTGCAGATTCTGGCGAGGTTGAACCCTACAGTGGAGCTTCCATTTCATGCTGTCTCTATAGGCCAGGAAGAGGAACTTCTTAATAAGCGAAGCTGCCTTAGTTCTAGGTATTTCAGTAACTTAACCCCCTTAAATCAAAGCCAAGATGTGAAATTCTTTCCCTTCCCATCTTTCTTTCTTTCTTTCCTGCAGTCACAGCTATTCTGGGCCAAGCACTATGAAAGGGACAAAATGTTCATCAATGAACAAGAGATAGAAAATCTCTGCTGTCCTGAATATTATAGTCAACATGAGAAGACAGATAATTAAAGTTAACAAATTCATAAATAAGATCGTTTCCAATAGGAACAAGTGTAAGAAGAAAATAAATAGGGTAATGAGGTAAACAGTAACTGCAGGTGGAGTGTCCCACCTTGTAGAGGGTGGTCAAGAAGTGGGAGTAAACCATGATGGGGTGAAAAAAATGAGGTAGAGGAGAGAAAGATGGAGATAGAGATGGAGAGAGAGAAAGGGAGAGAGAGAGAGAGAGAGAGAAAGAGAAAGGGAAGGAAGGAAAGAAGGGAGGGAGGGAGGGAGCGAGGAGTAGTAGAACTGGGAAAGCAGTGTCCCACGCAGGGTGAGGAGTGATACAAGGACACTGAGGTAAGAATGTTTGGTGAATACGAGGATTTGAAAAAAGGTTAGAGAAGCCAGGAGAGGGAAAGTGAGGGAGTGGGTGCTAGGACAAAATGAGGTTGAATATAAATAGGAGTCAAATTACATTCTGTCATGAAGGTCACTATAAAGAGGTCAATTTTATTCTTTGTGTGCTGCGGGGCTATGGGCAGGATGTAAGCAAATGAGTGATTTACTGTGCTTTTTTAAACTTTGAGAGTTCTCACCACATATTGACAACCAAACATTTTTGGAACCTCACCATATTTTATGTCCAGCAATGCCACATGACTAATACACCCTGGTTTCCATTCTTTCCAGCATACAGAAACTATGTTTTGGAAGAACACCAATGACCACAATTTACTGCAAGACACCTTTGAAGCATCTGGTCCAATTCTTTACACTTTTATTTAACAATCGTTCAAGATATGTTTATTGACCATCTACTACGTGCTATACATCATTTCATAGGAAGCAACCAATTTCATATTTGTACAGTTATAATTTTTAGAAATGTTATGGAGACAAATTTTGCCTTCCTCTAACTTCCCAGTTTCTCCCTCCAGAACCAGACAGCATAAGTAGTGCCTATTCCATGAAACAGCCTTTCAAATATTTGAAAAACTATGTTGTGCCCATTTTCTTCCTTTTCTAGGTAAATCATCCTCAGTTCCTTTACTTCTTATATGACATGTTTTCAAATCCTTATTAGTTCTGTTTACTCTTCTCTGGATATAACTGTCAATGACCCAATTAATGGTTGGTACCAGGATTAAATATATTACTCTACATGTTCTCTGACCATGAAGACAGAGAAGGCAAGTATTTCCCCATGTTCTGTATACCCTTTTTAATGAAGCCTAAGAATTAAGTGCCTGTTTAGAATATGAACAGGCTATTCTTAATGGGATAGCCACAATCTGCTTTTTTAATGAGGAAAAGTATTTGGTTGGCTGTGAGCTGACCTTGAGTCAATAATATGATATATGCCTCTTTTTCCCAGTATGTGTCTGTGTCCTGCTAAGAACAGAAACATCCTGTTGTCTTGAGACTATAACCAGCTGATGTCAAGGTATAGATAATATATGTAGCTACCGTGGAAGAAATCTCCAGTTGTATCTTTTTCAAACACAAGTCAGTGGATACTTAGCAAAATTATGCAAGAAACGTCTTTTCAACTTGATTTGTTGTCAAAACCTAAAATGGCCAAGCCACATGGTGTTCATTGGGCAATCCGAAAGATCTCCTTCTTTACTTCCAAGAGCTACTTAGTCCTGGGCAGTGAAGTCACTTTAATCACATGGTATCTGGGGGAGATAAACAGAGTTTTTAGGGGGTTATTCTCTACAGGGACATAAACTGAAATCCTTTGAACCCAGGCCTCTATGCTCCTTCTTTCCTTCCATCTGAAGAATATAAATCTGACCCTCCTCTTTCTCCAGATGCTCTTTACTGAACAACATAGAACACAGCACACATAGGGAGTGGGGAGGAATTGTACGTTACTGGACATTTCACAGACGGGGCAAACATGAGGTCCAGAGAAAAGGGTGCCTCCCTCAGAGATGCACAGTCTCTGTTTTTCTTATGCCAAGCATTTGGAAGAAAACCAAAAAATTCGGTGAAATACCCGGATGCTTCCAAATAGTAGATATTTTGGCTCAGCAAATACAGC